CGAAGACATAATTATCAAAGAGTTGATTCAGCACGATGACCGTATCAACACGATTCATTTATTCCTTAGGACTAAGAAAGGTAACCCATATGGATATTTTGTTGCATTAGGCTATCTAACGCACGACGATTCACGACAAAAGCCAGTTCATTTCCAGTGGCAGCTTCTTGACTGGCCACCTCCAGCAGAGTTCCTTCAACGCGTGGGATTAATACTGCTCCCAAGCCGCGTCGCCTTGTCTATGCCTCCGGTTACCCGCGTAGCTGGATCACTGATCGTGGAATCTGCACCTTCACCATCAGGCACAACAAGAGCTGGGGTAGGGAAAGAAACTTTTCAAAGTAGAAAAAACCCTGACTATGCGGCGAAGGATGCAAGGAATCAAGAGCTTGGGCTTAGAGGGGAACTGCTTGTTATCTCGCAAGAGAAGGATCGATTGTCTAAAGCTGGTAGGTCAGATCTGGCCGAGAAGATAGTTCACGTATCCGAAGTTGAAGGGGATTCTGCGGGATATGACATTCGTTCATTTGAGCCTGACGGAACAACCCGATTCATTGAGGTTAAAACTACCCGAGGCGGACCCACAACAAGCTTCTTCATTTCTCCCAATGAGATTGGTTTTAGCGCTCAAAATGCGGACAAATATGTTTTATACCGCTTATATGAATTCGATGATAAATCAGACAGTGCAAAGACGTTCATCCTTTTTGGAAGTATTGAACGTCAAGTTTCACTTGAAGCCACTGCATTCAGAGCAAAGCTGAGCGCACCTAGTTGAACAGAAAAGCGTGCCATCAAAGAGCCAATACTTTTTAGTCGGCATTGTCAACTTCGCCAATTATCAACTCTCGCGTCAAAGAGCATTTTCGACTTGGAGTGAGATTGCTTGTGTTTGAACGTTATAAAACCCTTACGTTTTAAAGTCTGCCGAAATAAGGTGACAACACCTCAAAGATGACGGCCAGAAACGACGACACTGGATAGCTACCCCAAACGGGGTGTTGATGTACCACTGGTCCTGTTTTGGTCCTACCGGTCCGTTGTACGCTGCACCTTTGCGGATCGTTCGGACGGCCTCAATCCCTTTACGTATCGCTTTTGCGAACTTCAAGTTCCTGACCCCTCGCATCGGTTTGATCAAATTCTTAAGCGCAGTGTGGTCCGATTCGATGTCGGCACATCAACGTCATGAACCTGATGACGAAGCACGATATACAAAAAAAACTATTTGGTCTCTATGAAAAGCGTCCAGGTCAGCACGAACACTTTCGATCGTAAAGAGGGTAGGGCTAGGAGATATTAAAGCTCTCCATTCATCCCGTCAGTGTCATTGAAGTAGTGCAAAGCCAGAACTCGCGTGGCAAGGAAGGCTTACAGAAAATGTTCGACGAAAGTTTGCAGCAAGTGGCGTGGCGAGCGCTTTGCCCAGAAGTGTCACGACCGAGGCAGACAGTTCGAATTTTTCGCCCTCTGGCGGCCAGCTGCAATCTGTTTGACACTGTTCGCACTCGAGAACAGGAGTCTCTAAGATGCAAAAACCAAACACGCAAGAACCGACATCAGAATCGGTGCAATTCATCCCACCCTCAGCCTGTCGTCCCTGGCGGTTCCACAACAGGTCACCAGCTTGGACCACGACAGAGCAACAGAGATCCCTGGAGCAATCAATCGCCAAAGATGGACAGCAACAGCCGGGTCTGGTTCGAATCCTCGAAAGCGATCCAGATTTCCAATTTGAAGTCATCTTTGGGATGCGCCGCTGCCTGGCCTGTGACAGCGGGGAGAAACCCTTTCTCGCCAAGGTGGTGCCTGCTGACACCTCGGATCAGGATTGTGCCCGGCTCATGCATACTGAGAACGAAGAGCGGGCAAACGTCAGTGTGCTGGAAAAAGCTAAGAATTACGCCGCCTTGATCGAAGGTGGCGTTTTCGACGGGCAGACAGCGCTTGCCACAGAACTGGGTCTGACCAAGAGCCGGGTTTCACAACTCCTCAAGGCAGCCGAAATATTTCACTATCCGTGGTTGACCGCCCTGATAGAGCCAGGCCTGATTCACGTAAGTATCAGACGTGCCACGCAGCTGGCGCGCAGACTGAACAATCCGGTCACCCAGCGCTTGTTACGCGACAGAGCAGGCCGTCTGGCGGCGTTATCTGAACCGATCGGTGTTGAAGAAGTCATCAAACAGCTGCTAGCCGATGTCCCGACTGGTCACGCGGCGCCGGTTCAGCGCGAGGTGCTTGAAAGGGTAGGGCGCCAACCGGTAGTTGAAATTGCCCGGTCCCGGGATGGAGCCGTACGGGTGTCCATCGCCAAAGTCGACAGATCGCTGGAAACCACGGAAGAACTGATTGGCCAGATTGCCGAGAAGATGCGCGCGTACCTGATGGATCAAGATGCGGTTTCCACCAGTTGAACACGTTCAACTCGTGAATCCGGCAAGGAGTGTTTGATGATGCGGTCTATTTTTATGCGGGAAAAAGAACGCGCGGCTGTTGGGATCACCAAAGCAGCAGAAATGCCCGGCAGTTCCTTATGCGACCAGAGATGGCTCACCCTGGTTTGGCGACTGACCAGTATCAGTCGGCCTGAATTTGATGCCACCTATCAACCGTTCCTGGAAAGGGCGAGTCACATGATGGCCCGAACCAGAACCCTGGATCTTGAATCAGCGAGCCCCGGTGCCGAGCAACAGCTGATGCACCTGGTGGTGACGATGCTAAAGGTACGCAAAGCCTGGATTGTGCCCAGGCGGGCCGGGTTGGAGAATGCGGCCCGGATGGCCGAAACGATGAGCTTTGCGCTGGTGGTGGCCTGTGTGCTGGATCAGGTCCTGATCGGTTGGCGGCAGGCGGACCTGGCCGTTGACAAAAGTGCTAGCTGCCCACTATTAGATGGTTTCGATGAAGGCCAACTAACCCCCCGTAAAACCACCCTGGCGCCTGGCACATCGATGCTCTTCCTGCCATCAGTGCTGACTGACACTGCACTGCGCTGGTTGTGGAAAGAGCCTCACGTGATTAATGAACTGGCCTGGTATTTCAACGCATCGCCAAAGGGGGAGTTTCGACAGCTTGTGCAGCTCGCAAAACAGAAGGCACTAGTCCCTTCGGCTGAGCCGGCCGGCCGACAGGACAAGGCTGGTGCGGGGCAGGATATTGCATTATCAGAAGCCGTTCAGGCTCAAGCCGGACCCCGCGCTGCGGAAGTCGGGCGGCCAATGCCTGCTCAGGACACAGAGCAAGCCGACTTTATCGAATGGAGCCCAGAAACTCATCTACCCGATGCAAAGGCCAACAGGGATGAATTCAAGACCGAGCCGGGGAAGTCGGACGAAACTCAAGCGCCCGAGGCAGGGATCGAGGGACAAGAGCTGACCGGAGTGGACAGGCAGGATGAAACGTTGACAGAGAGCGATGCATCAAAGGCCGATGAAGTCGAACCAGGACAAGCTGAGGGATTGGCGTCAGCACCTATCAGGCAAAAGCAAAAGGTCGGTGAGGACTTTATCGGGTGGCTGCGCGCGGAAGTGGAGAGTGGCAGACTGACAGCAAATGAACAAACCAGTGTCCTGCATCAGCTCGCGGATGGCACCTTGTTTCTGGTGATGCCCCACACATTGAAGCGATTTGCGGATGCGAGCGGCTTGCGGGCCAAACAGGTCCAGAACAGAATGGGCAGGAGGGGGGCTATTCGCAAACGCAAAGATGGGAGAGACTTGTACTACGCGATGCACCCAACAATGGGGCTTGTGCCAGGCGTCGTCTTGCTCAAGCCCAAGGCGATCTTTGGCACCGCAGGAAAACCGACAAGCGAATTCATCCCCAACGTGATACTAGACTGAGATGGTCACAGCAGATTACCCAAACCTGGAACTCACCATCCTGAACTACATTGCCCGGTGCATTGCGCGCGGCAAAACCTCCGAATTGGAAGAGCTGGGGATTGATGTGGGCACGATGCAGGTCGTCGCCAGGATGAATGTCGATGAGCTGGCGGTCAGATTGACGGAGCGGGCCAATCGCAAAAAACGAGCACTAACGCAGGACGAGATCAAACGAAAGAAGGCAGGCAATTTGTACTATATCCCGAACGAATTTGACTTCAGCACTTCCGGCGAACTGAAGCTCGAGATCTTCAATATAGACAATCAATATCAGGGGATATCAACCACAAGCAAAGTGGTCTCACCATTGGCGGACCGCATCAGCGACATGGTGCAGCGAATGGTGATGCTCACCGCCGAGCTCATCGCGAAGCAGCGGGTGGAAGCGGAGCGATCGCGGCTGGCAGCCATCCGCGCCAAACGGGAACAGGAAGCCCGCCACATTGGTGACAAGTGCCTCACCCAACTGGACAAACTGGAAAAGGCTGCCAAACAACTTGAGCGGGCTCAGGTGCTGCGATCACTCGCTCAGGCCTGCCGGACTAACGCTGAGTTCACCAAGAAGAATGCGGAACTATCCGACTGGATCAATAACGCCGCCGATTGGTTGGACCCGCTGATCTTGCGCGAGTGGCCAGATGTTGACGAGGCGATTGCTGCCGGCTTGCTGTCGTATGACTCCAAGTGGCGCCGCGTCAGCTTACGATGATTTGATGACGGGAATGATCCAGGTAGGCCGCATCGATCAACCGGGGGGCAATAAGAGGGCTGGATCGATGTCGTAAAAGCGGCGCATGATCTGGTCGCGTCGGGACGGAGACTCGAGTCTCTGTCGCCTTTAGCAGGTACGGCAACAACCGCCGTCTGCTCGCAAAATGCAAAAGTGACCTGTCGGGGCCTGTGGTGCGATTTCGACGGGTTACAGGGTTGTGGGCTCATATAAACGCACTGAGATTCGTGTTGATCGATGCCTGTTGTTGAATGTCAAAGGTTTGAGAGTGAGGGGTTTAGTGGACAAGACGGTTCAGGTTGTGCCGCTGGTCATCGGTGTACAAGATTTGTTGATTTTCACGGGGCTCTCTGAACCAGTTCTGGCGCTGGAAAGCAGCCCGGATGGTGTATCAGGCACTGGGGCATCTACCGCGGAGATTTTCAAATTCGCTGAACAAGGAAACGCCCAAGCTCAACGAGCCCTGGGTCTGCAGTATCCCAAAGGCATAGGGCTGCCTAAAGATGGCATCAAGGCAGTGCTCTGGTACCGGAAAGCTGCCGAGTAGTCAGCTCTCATTGCTCAACGCAAATTGGGTGAAGCCGATTCGACCGGTGTCGGCGTCCTAAAGAACAACGAGCAAGCAAGCAGAGCAGTGTTTGTATTGCCTTGGACGAGTGAAGCGTTGCCTATTTGATGGCACCAGTCTTGTTGGCTCGAGGCGGTAACAACTTTGCCTTGACCATAGGGGTGACGGCTCCCATATTGGGCTCAGCGCTATCGCACCGTCAATGCGCTCGTATTCAGAATCCGGTGCGCTTCACAATTGCGCCAGGTGCACTCGTTGAGTAGCTCAAAAAGAACTGGCGTAGTGAATCCGGTAGCACTCAACCAGCATCAACGCCCCCATAGCCCTGACAAATTGCTGTGCAAAGTGTCTATCCAATGAGCGAGTCGACAACCCGCTCACGAGGGTGCCTCACAGGCACCAACTCAAACCACTATCCAAGGAGATTCACGAAATGGCTATGTCACCTTTTGAGCAAGGCTACCGCGATGCCGTCAATGGCCGTCCCGCCCAAACCCAGCAGGGCGATTACGGTTCAGGACACCGGACGGGTACCAGCGGCAAGTAATGGCCCGTTGGACTGGGTGCATTTCGGTGTACCCGTTAAGCCTGACAAGTTGCAAAAACATCCGTCTCAACCATGAGAGTCGAAATTGACGCTCACCAAGGTGTCTCACAGGCACCAACTCAAACCACTATCCAAGGAGATCACGAAATGGCTATGTCACCTTTTGAGCAAGGCTACCGCGATGCCGTCAATGGCCGTCCCGCCCAAACCCAGCAGGGCGATTACGGTTCAGGACACCGGACGGGTACCAGCGGAAATTAATCAGTCTAAGTGACGGAAACGCCCCCACGTGCGTATCCGTCACGATCGGCCTACAAGGAGAAGAAGATGAGCAGGAAAACCAAAGAACAGATGTGTGACCTTACACTGGTTCGGGGAGATGACTTCGGAGTTGGGTTTCCCAAAAATTCGCCTTGCGCGGATAAAGGTGGCGATGGAATCAACGGACGTCTAGGGCCTTATGCAAATACTTGAAGTCCCGTCCGTAAGAAAACTTACAAAGTCATAACGCTACTGATTCGCAACCAGGATGAGCAGCCGAACCAAACGTGTCGGCTCAGCATCGTCAGCCTGTATTCCCCCTTGTCTTGACACCTTTGGTAGCCGCGTTTACGGATCACAGACTCGCGAATGCTATAGAGAACTGACCTAAATATTTGGGTACGACTATGAAAAAGACTGACTCGAACGGGATAGCGCAGGCAAGCCTGCTGAGACGGCTAGCGGTTTCGGTCTTTGGGTTAGCGCTAACTGTCATCGCGCAAAGCGCTCCGGCAGAGCTAACGATATGCAACAAGGGCGCCAGTAAGGTATTTGTCGCAAATTCTCACGCGGAAGGGATGCCAAGGGGCAGCTGGCGGATTATTGGCTGGGTAAAAGTAGGCACGCGTGCATGCAGGCCGTTCAGCGATATGGTGAAAAGGAAAAGGAATTTTTACTACTATGCTGAAGATGAGGTTGGCAATCGCTGGCATGCGGGCAACGGTCCTGGGTTCAAGGGATGTATTTCAAAGACCGGTACCTTTAGTCTGAAGTCGACTGCAGGTGTTCAGTGTCCAGGCGATATGAGCGCCAAGAAGTTAAAAGAAGTCGACACGGGAAATGAAACTGAATTCACGCTGACGCTGACGGGCTCTCAAAGTGCGCGGAGTGCGCCGTTTCGAAAGATCGATCTCTTAGACATCGGTGATGGCGTTTATGTTCAAGGGTTTTCGTCGGACGAACTGGGTGTTATTGTTCGGATCGATAAGAGCGATGACACGGTAAAAGTCAGGCGTTCATCAGACGGCACAACCAAATGGGTAAGCGTGAACCGAGTGATCACCCGTGAGCAATCACAAGCCAACGACATTGGAAGAATGGTGGTAAGTGAGGCAATTATCTTTTGTCTGCTTGCGCCAGATGCGTGCAAGAATTAGCGTTCGACGCTTGAGTCCATCTAGGCGTCGTGATTGTCCTATTCGGTTCCCGGTTGATTCGATAGATAGGCTCTGAAGGTGAGGTCAGGTTGCACGAGTCAATAGGTCTGATCGTTGAGGCGATGATGAGGTCTTGAGCATTTGTTGAGGGCGCTTAACCATTGGCTATTGGGGCCAAGGATATCGCAGCTATTGAAGTCTTAGTACACCTTATTGTGGTCGAGCGGTACCCGAGTGCTGACGCTGATAGGGCCAGCTCAATACCTTGAGAGACGACCGTAAAATCGGCAAAAAAAACTAACAGGTTCAAACATGAAGGATTCACTTGAGAGGCGCTGCGAGGCGTTTGCCCGAAAGGCACATGATTCGATCAATCATCAACGAAAATACACTGGGGAACCCTACACAGTGCACCTTCAGGCAGTCGCAGATCTTGTGCGTAGGGTATCTGGTTCGCCTGAGATGATTGGTGCAGCATGGTTGCACGATGTCGTTGAGGACACGCCGGTTACATTGCCAGAAATCCAGCGTGAGTTCGGCGAAGCAGTTGCCACTCTCGTATGTGAGTTAACCGATGTTTCCCGTCCCGAAGATGGTAACCGTAAAGTAAGGAAAGCGATTGACAGGGAACACTTGGCCGGTGCCTCGCCTGACGCAAAAACGATCAAACTTGCAGATCTAATTGACAACTCTCACTCGATCCAAGAACACTCTCCTGGATTTGCGAAGGTTTATATGCAGGAGAAGCGACTATTGCTAGAGGTATTGCAGGCAGGCCATCCTCATTTACATGCAATGGCGAGTGAAATCGTCGCTCGCTATTTTGAGGAGCCAAAACAATCACTGAGGTAGTTTCTGCTGAGATGGTGGTCCTTTCGCTGATGTTGAAACTGGGGCAGCGTCACTATTTCAGAGACATAGCAACCGAGAATGACCTAGGTGGCGAAAAGGGATCGTGATCTAGGTTTTGCGAATTGCTATAGTTTTTCGCTTTACACTGCCTAGCCGGGGGTCGCAAGCGGATGTAGCAACAGTCTGGCGGGTCGATTGCGGGTTATTCGATTTGCCGTTGCCGCTTCGATGGATTAGAAGTTGAACGAGTTGACCGCTTTCGGCTCTTACCAGTCCAGAGTTCAAACTCGCCAATCGAACCGGGTGCCGCTCGCGACCGGTATTGCGATTTCAGGGCACTAGTTACGATGTCGGTTTTAAGAGCGAACAAGCAGTTATTGCCGATATGGGCAATGAGTATCTGGGGTGCTTGATGCGATCTTCGGTGATGTCGTCAATCTCAACGCTAGCAACTGGCGCAGTACATCGCCAGTCGCTACCGACCAATCAACATACCTGCCATCGACATGTTATCTGGTTGAAAGAAACCATCGAGGCGAAACCCTGACCGGCAGGCAGCGGTGACGATGTCGTGACGAGAATACCGGAATGACACACCCGTCTCGAACGCTTGCCCAGACAGAAGCTTGTATTGATGCCCCTGAAGACTGATTTGAGTGTCTTTTAGTAGGCGAAAGCCGATGACCATTGCGTTCTCGGCGGGCTGCCATTGTGAGAACGACTCAAAGGCGGGGAATTCAAGTGGTGAATCCGCCAGTGCATTGATCAGCAGCAATTCATCCGCGACGTCATCGCTCGTCGCAGCGTAGGCTTTTTCTAGCTTGCCAATATCTGTCTGGTTGGTATCGACACTGATCAGTACGTGGCCGTCTAACGGCAGCCAGGATGCCAGCCTCGCAAACCACTCATTGAGATCACTGGCGCAATCGCCGGCTTGCTGGGCGATATTACCAATCGTCTGACCCAATAGCAGCACCAAACAGCTACTCTGTTGCGTCTCGACTCGATCATGCATGAAATCCGCACGGCAAGCCCGAGTTCGACTCACCCTAACCTCAGGCGTATTCGCAATCTGGTGCGCAGCGGCTAAAGCCATATCGTCAGCGATGTCAACTGCGCAATACGTTTCAACGCCTTCAAAGACCCGCAGCAAGGGAACCGTCTTAGCCTCAACCGATGCTTTGCTGCCAGGACCTAGATCGATTATCTGCTGTTTCGGACCGACCAACTGGGCAATTGTTTGCGCCGACTCCTGAATCATGCGAACGTCTTCGTCAAAGATGTAATAGTCAGGATTGTTGACATGTGCTGCCCACTGGCTGGAGGCTCGCGTCCGTTCCGAGTGCTCGAGTCTGTCGACTGCATAGGTGTGTTTTAGCATGTGCCGGCGCTGGCTCCGGCGCAGCAGTTGGTGTACATCGGCTGCGAGGTCATTGCTCACTATCAGATCACCGGTCATCATCTTGGTCCTTCCTGTAGTAGTCAGGAAACGACGGCTTCTGTCGTCTCTGTTGTCTGTAGACGACCAGGTGATTGATTTGTCAGGTGTACCAGTGGTTTGTGCGAGCTTTCTGTCTATTCTTCTGATAAATACCGACTTTTGAAAGCGTACCCTGCGCGCAATACATTCTGCTGCAACAAGGCATTGTCTTCGATCGCTTCTTTGCCAGGGGTTACCAGCATGATCTGTAGCAGTACGCCATGCTCAAGCTATCCATTTTCCCTGCTACTTATCGCGGCCAGGTATCGAGACAGGCAAAAGCGAGATGTCATAGCTGGGTACGTGGCGGTAGGCTTGATGGGTTTCGACGATCACTTTTGGCCGAATCCAAAGGGATTGTAAAGATATTTCACGGTTCGTTCCGCGTTGTCTTGTCGTCCTCAAGAAGCCATCGCTAGATTCATCTGAGATGTGTGCCTACTACGAGGCGGGAAGGGGAGTTGGCTGCTGCTAGCCCCTTCTTGTGTGGACTTGTCAGCATCATCGGGTCAATTGCCTGACATCAGCTCGATTGCCGCCGCCCGAAGGGGTGTTGAGGGAGAAGCCACAAGACAGGCATTGGCCGATGTCCGCCGTGGTCACTATGTTGCATCGATCGACATTCGCCTTTTTCTGATTTCGGTGCACCCGCTAAGCCTGACAAGGCGCCAATACATCCGTCTCTACTACGAGGGTCGCAATTGACGCTCACCAAGGTGCCTCACAGGCACCAGCCCAAACCACTATTCAAGGAGATTCAATGGGTATGTCATCTTTCGAACACGGCTACCGCGATGCCCTCAATAATGTGCCAGCCCAAACGCAAAACGGGAATTACGGCTCGGGTCATCGAGCTGGCAGCGCCAACAAATAGTCAACCCAAAAGCGGAGAGGCCAGGCTGCCTCTCTGTGTCAACGTCAAATGGAAGGAGTCTGAGATGTCAATGAAAGGGTATCAAAACAGCTGTCCGGAATGTTCCTTTACTGGGCGATCGCTAGCGTTTCCTCGTCATGCACCAAATGGCGTCAGTTCTAACCCCTGGACAAATGATCTCTCCTGGTATGGCTGTAGGACCGGTTATTCACGGGATTATTGCCGCTCCTGTGGAGCCGCCTTGTTTCGTTATTGACATGGTGGTGAATTGAGGATGGAAGCAGGCAGTACATCAGCGACACTGCTGCAGGTTCCCGCCAGCAGAACCGCTGGTTACCCTTCCGCCCGCCGGTTTGACTACAATAAAAATGTCAGAGCTCTGATTCTATCAAGTCGTCGCGTGATGCTCGTCGAAACCCAGAGACAAAGTCGTTTAAGCTTATCGCCGTTATTGCCTGGCGAGACGAATGAGCGCATTGCCGATGATCACAGGCCTCTTAAATCAGAGAAGAGCAATTCGCTAAGTTGGTGGGAACGATGAAAAAAATACTATATCTGGATATGGATAATGTACTCGTTGATTTTGAATCTGGGATAGCTCGAGTAGGTGAGTCAATCAAAGCTGAATACATGGGTAGGCTAGATGAAGTGCCCGGCATATTTTCCCTGATGGACTCGATGCCCGGTGCAATTGCAGCATTCCATGAACTCTCAGGCTTGTTTGATACCTATATTCTCTCGACCGCACCGTGGGAAAATCCAAGCGCGTGGAGTGACAAATTGCTCTGGGTGAAGCGACATATAGGTGATTCAGCTCACAAACGCCTGATCCTTTCTCACCATAAGCATTTGAATGAGGGCGCGTACTTGGTCGACGATAGAACGAAAAACGGAGCGGCTTCGTTTGGTGGCGAGCATATTCACTTTGGCACTGACCGGTTTCCCGGTTGGGACGCCGTAACGAATTACTTGAGGAAGAACGCAGCGTAAGCCACTGATCGGCATTCAAGGCGTCGTTTGATTCCTTCGTATCGTTCGGCTTACCGGAAATGGAGCAATAGCGTCTGGCTTTTGGGATGACTAAACGCAAAAAGAAGAATAGTTCGGGTGGGCAAATGACCTCTAGAGTCCCTGGTCTGAGGCGCTTACGCAACCTACGTGAAAAGTTTAGAAAGCTTCGGTATCGCCACGCGCGCGAAGCTGTGGTGGACGACATTGCTGTGGATTGGTTCTTTAGCGAACCACTGCCAAACCTGGTCGATTGGAACGGCCGTCTCCTGGATTCTGACTGGGCCCGAGAACTCGCCGCCTGGGATGCACAGACAGACATTTGCAATCCACTGATTGATCAGATTGCTGAGCTAACGCAGGTCGAGCAATGGCTAAACGGACTGGACGCCTCTTTAGTGGATTTTGTCTCAGACGCTCAAGGTTTCTTGCACGGGGTAGGCAGTCCAGGGCAGATGCTTTCAAATTATGGTGACCGATCAGAGCCCGACGAAGTCGAAGGCTCAATTGCTGAGAGAAATCGGACCGAAGCATTCGAAGCATGGATCCAGAAGATCCAAAACAATCCTATGGACATCATTCGCGAACTTGAGCAAGACCTGACTGCTGTGGTCATCTTGAGGAGTCTTAAGGCCCATGTCTGGCCATCCTCTGCTGACTTTTATGTGGCTAGTGCGACCGCACCACCTGATGGCTGGACTGGATCGGCGATGGCGCAGGAGTTGCGAGACAAGTTTCCAGGAACCGTTTCAGGATATGCGGCGGCTGTTCCAAAAGGAAACTCACGCATGACCTGGGGGTTTTGTTTGGCCCTTGTTGCCTTGGGTTATCCACGTTGGACGGCAACTGCACGTTCGACTCCGGTTCCCAAAGGAAGCGTTAATGAAGTTCTTTCGCACTTTTTTGCAGAGTTCGACGCGCCAAGCTGCTACGCAGAAGTCATCGGCCACGCTGAGCCAGATACTGATGACTTGGTAACTAATTTTTTTCGCGAATGGGGAGATATCCCGGGGCCGGAAACGGCTGGCAGGGTCAGCTATCGCTTAGCTCAGCCCGTGCGATTTTGGCCTGCGGTTCTTAGCATCCCTTACGCAGGTTGGTACGTTGCGCGTGTTCAAGGCATTAGCCTCCGATCCCTCCTTGTGACGCGTGGCTATTCGATTCCTGGGCGGCTCTTGCACCAGATGGAGTGCCTAGATCCAAGACAGTACGACTTCAAATGGGGCTCATTCTTACATTTTGCGATTGCCGCACTAGACGGCCGTGCGCGTTGCGCCCCATGGACTAGACTCATCGAGGAGCAGGACTTTGACCGGTTCTTCGATTCCAAGGAGCGGCGGTGGTCATGGGCAGGATCTGTCGAAGAGCATGCCAAAGACATTTCGGGGCTATGGCGCGCCGATGTCTCTGGCCTGCTTGACCTCGCTCGCTTCGTCACCCAGTATCCGACAGCCGAGCGTAGTGCAGACGAGCGTTGGAGAACATTCGATTTTGCAGTCTGGTATGAATACGAGGTGGCCGAACATGAACGACGCGGTCAATCGTTTCTGATCGCAAATCGATCACTTACAAGCGTCCAGCGCGCTGTGGAGGCGTTTGCTATTGAACGTGCACGAAGGGATCAGATGAGATCATTGAATGATCTTGCTACCTCTTGGCAAGGGCACGATCTCGATTTTGAGATGAGTGAGATCTGGAGCTTTAAAGAGCTCACAAATGCCAGAGCTTTATTGGCAGAGGGAGCGGCGCATAGGCATTGTGTCGCAAGCTACTCTAATCGATGTGTTGCGGGCCAAAGCGCTATCGTGCAGCTATTGTTAAGGGGAAACCGCGAGCTCACCATTGAAATTCATCCGCCTTCAAAAGTGATCGTACAGGTTCGCGGGAAATTCAACTCGTTTGCATCACCGAGTGCGGCTGCAGCGGTGATGCGATGGGCCAGCAATAAGGAGTTAATACTCATGCCTAGCGCCATTCATAGGTATTGACCGCAGGAACTAACATCGCAGCGGTAGAGATAGAAAATTGCGATCAGTTCTCGTAGGGATGGATATCGGGAATCTTTCCATCTACAGCTCAAATCTTGGCTATGGCCCCATTTGGCCTGACAACTTGAGGTAACGGTTGCATTCGATAGGCGGAAAAGCTGATGACCAATCTCAGGCGTGAATCGCTAATCGACGGTCAGAAGTAGTCGAGCTTTGAGTGGAGCAATTCGGAGCCGGAATTTTGACTATCTCGTTGAAACTTGCTTAGGGCCGCGTTCAAAGGGCTTGATCGCCTGTCCCATCACCATCAATTGGCACTGCAGCGTCTGTCTAACTGACACTAGACTAGTACTATTTTCAATGCATTTTCGACGTACAAATTCGGTAAAACGCCAACCATACGGCTCACACAGATATCGTTTGCCACCGACGACCGAATAGTCAAAAAGTTGGCATGCTCGGGAAAGGGAAATTGGCGATAGTTGGTTGCGAGGCAACTTGTCACCAGAAGAAAAATCATCGCTAGAAAAGACTTCAATTTCTGAAACCTGAGCATCCGGCGCGGTTCGAGAATAGATCGTGATGACTTTGCGCAGCTCTCGTGTCAAACAGTCGTGTTGATAGACAAAAAGCCCGCTCTTAAAGGCGGCGGCCCTTAGCGGATCGCCTTGATCTGAGTACTTTGGCACCGGTCGATCGGTCGCTTGAGCCGCGGTTACACACTTGCGCTTAGCGCTTTCTTCTTTATTGCGAGCGGCAATTTCTTTCTCTTTCTCATAGGTATAGGTGCCATAGGTTTGCACAATTTGGTTCATTTGGGGGCTTGCCACGGGCTCCAAGCTTATCTTGCGGCCTGGACAGACTGAGGTAACACCGCCCTTAAAGATTTTGGTGTCAGGATCTATTTGCGCTCGAAATGTCAAAACAGGTGGGCCGTCACGCTTAGGTTCCCACGTGTAAAACGGCCCTTTCTCTTTTGTTTGCCTCACCCGTTTATAGCGATCATTCTCTAACAAGATGGTCTTGCTATAGACCCTTCCTGATGCGTGGTAGGCGAGTGTTTGGCCTGAGGCTGCTAAATCAGCGACGATGATTTGCCCTTGAAACTTGTCTTTTTCAACTTCCCAAAAAGCCAATTGGACTTTGTAGTAAAGCGTTCGGTTGCATCTGTATGTGCCAGTCCACGTCGCAGCATTTTTCACCACTTCTTGGAAATCGGCTTCGGCTTGCGCGAGTTTCTTCGCACTCGAACCACACGCTGAGAGGGCAATGCAGATCAAGAAAAGACTGGTTCGGATCGGGATACACATGAAATAATCTCTTAGGTACTAGTAATACGGTTTAAACATTACGAGGTCTAGTTGAAGCGCAGACTGTCGCCCCTGCGCTAATCGCTGGGCCGCTTAGTCGAGTGCCGCATGGACTGCCCGAAGCATTTGAATTTGGCTACGCAACATGAGCTTTATGTTCTCGTAGGCGGCTTCTTGTGCCGGAAAACGGCGCCGCGCAAGTTTAAGCATCGGTAAGATGTAGTTTTCCGACTCTGAAATGTATTCCTGCTGTTTCTCCATGCGAAACACACCGATCATCGTTTGCTGGTTATTGATTCGGTCTGATCCTTTGACGATGCTGGCGATTGGACAGGATGCTATTTTGTCAAAGTAGTCTTCATCGGATCGTCGAACGCCGTTTTCCTCTTTGGTCATCCGCTGCACTGCCCCAGCGACCGTTTCACCGAAACGAGATCCAATGTCGGTGATTGTGACGCCATAGTCTTCGACGATATCGTGAAGCAACGCGGTGGCGATTGATTCGGCTGGAAATTGAAGGTTACGACTTAGTGTTCTTGTGTATAAGGCGACTTCTAGTTGATGCATGAACTCGGGCGTTCTGCCATCTTTTCGGAGGCCAAGATGGGTAGTGGAAGCAAATTCGAATGCCTTCAGTGGCACCAAGTAGGAGGCATCTCGCTCTGCTGATCCTTGAAGCAGATAGCGTAAAGTAATGCGAAGTTTGTCGAATGGTTTGAGCGGTTGTTCGGTCATATCAATTGACGTTTGGAGTTTTCGTTACCGGTATTGGTGAAAAGTCGGTCTGACGGTTCTGGGTCTTTGGATTCATTCCATCTGAGCCATCGTATAAATTAGCATAGCCTTACCGGAGCAATGGTAGTTGGAGCCGTCCGACTGATCATTCGTGGACTCGAGGCGGCTCGGCATCAGAACTAGACGGCTTGATTGAACTTCCGGGCCATCATGCCGAGCTCATAGGAAGTCATAATGAAGTAGCCCCACAACGCGAGGAAGGGTACGAAAATGAGGCCGATGCCAGTCAGGCCCAGGAGAGATCCGACTACGCCGACCAAAAAGAAAAATGCGAGTCCAAAAAGCCAAAACTTCAGAAATCCCCAGATGTTCAACATGATGAATATCAGTGAGGCGGGTACGTTCAGAAATTGAATGAGCGAATCCTTAGCAGCACTACGAATGATGCCTGCATAGACAAGTGGAGAAGCGAGTAACGCCCACAGAATGCCGACCGCGATTTTGGTGGCGGTATCGCCCAGCCAGTCCAGCGCAATGGCTTCGATGGATAGCGTAGAGTAGACCAAGATATCGTCGATCAGGCCGCCCAGCCCTGCCACGCCCATGACCGACAAGATGATCGGGGGGATGAATGTCAGTAAGAAGGCCAGTATCGCAATGACAAACCCATCACATAGAAGTTTGGCCGGCTCAAGCTTCGGTAGGGTTGAATCGCCGCGCGCGAATTGTCTGACAACCGCATATTGCCAGCCGATCAGGGCGAAGACGCCGAGCACTGGGATCAGCGCGCTGAGTAAAACAGGTAGGAGCCGCTCCACTAAGTACTTGTCACTAAAGGGCCATTTTAGGGAGTTGATGAATTCGCTGACCATGAGACGCTGCCTACTTAAGATCCTGAGTTGCTGGATTACAGCGTTTCACGAACCGTCAAACGCCGCCCTGTCTTAATGAAGAGACGGCTTTGACTATCAACTGTCAGGGTACAAGCCGGGTAAGTCTTTCGGATGGCGACCGACTCTCAGACTACTTTTCATAGACTTCAGCTGATAAAAGCGCTCGAGGTGTCCCAGAGCGGTGAGTAGGATGGCGATACGGGCCCGGCGGCAGGGCCATTGGTATCGGGTGAAGGCGTTTGTCAACGTCTAGGATCATCTCAATCGATGCTCATGCGTCCAGTAAAAAGGTGGGCCCTAAGTTTGATCAACACGCTTGCGGTTAGCTAAACAGCCGTTTAGACCGAAACAAGCGCGACCCAGGTGCCTGCGACCCTTGTGCTTTGCTGAAACGGTTCGCGAGACAGTGAAGCCCCAAAGGCCATCGAAGATTCAGGCATTGACCAATGACAAGCCCGACTCAGCAAAATACTATGGCGCCGTGGATGTCCTCATCATACGGAATACTCCTTTGCCGATCGTTCCATTCGAAGACACCAACTGCGACGATATACAGACCGATTGCAGAGGCGAACAGTGGTTCGAGTTGGCGTAAGTATTCGATCTCAGTGACCAGCTTCCGTACCCGCGGATTGCAAGTCCGGAAATCAACAAGCGGCAGCGACATATTTTGACTGACGAATGTGATGGTCTCTGCATAGTAAGACGTCGTTCTCCATACAATTGCCCCAGCATCTTCAATAAATCGCTCTAGGGTGACCCTGCATCGGGTTTCCCGATCAAACTCTGGATCGTCTTCGTCTCCTAGGATCGAATCGACGATGTAATCCTCATCGTATGGTCCTTCGGTGATCGACACGTACAGCGAACCTGGTTGATGAATCCACGCTTTCTCAAAGATCGAGCCGCGCAAAGCTTTGAGTGCAAAGTTTTCGAACAGTCGATTAGCCTGTTGTGCTTCAGTGCTGATCTTCATGTGCCTTTCCTTTGAAGTCGCGTGCTATCGGCTTCAAATGGGAGGCGAGTGGCTGAGATTAAAGCGATCTACAGTCGACACTGAAGCTCAGCAATTTTTCGCCTTGATTTGCTTTGCACGCCAAGCCAAACTCACAGTCATCCTGCTTGCCCAATGGCATCGTCCCCATCGTGAATGCGCCTGCTTGGGCTGGTCGGCCAGCAAGAATAGGACGAATACAATGATCGGGCCAGTCAATGGCGATATGAAAATGCCTCCTATGAGAGTAGATGTCGTCAACCCACCCTTGTCAGGTTAAGCGGGTTAATGGGTTCGGCGTCCTGCAACTGAGCTCCTGTGACGTGGAGGTTATGCCTGGAGCTATTGAATAGCGGAACGGCAACGAGACTCGCGGATAGTGCGTTCTCGAAAATTTGAGGGCCTTAGTAGTTGGTCGGCTTTCTCGAGAGATGGGAAGAAGGGTGAGGCTATCGTCGGTGCTTCGGTAGTCAAAAAGCAGAGTGATCGGTAACTGGTGATCAGATACAGGCTGCTTAGATGGTTTGGCGTTGCCTATCACGCCAGTCGGAGGTAGGGTTCTTTTACGACTACCCTACCAAAAGTCGGCACCCGCCTGATAGCCTCGAAGAAAGTTAGACCTCAAAAGTCCAGTTGACTTCCTGGATCTTTGCGTTCAGCTTACGCACTGACTCAGCAGTACGGTCAGCTCGTTGTTCAAGCTCCGACACCTTAAGCTGCGAGATCCAGGCAACCTCGCGCGTGCTGTACACGTTTGGTGCTGTCTGAGCCGCTTTCGCCGCTGAACGCAGGATCGCATGCTCAGCCAAAAGCTCATCACGTTGCGCGATCGCCTCCATCAGCGAAATCCCATTCTCAAGCGTTGCGGAAAGATTCGCTTGATTGATGGAAACGACGAGTTTACGCAATTCAGTGTTCTCGCGAAGGAGCTCACTCAGTAGCTTTTCCGGATTCTCATGCGGGGTGGTTTTTTCCTGCGCAATGGCGTTTGCCTTTACCCGTTCCCGCAAGGAATCGATGCGCTTTTGCTTGGCACTTCTATTGATTAGTAGTTCAGCAAGTTTCATTTGATTTACCTCATCTATTGTTGTGATGGACAATAGACGGGCGCCACGCAAAGTTGTCAGGGAAGATGCATCGCAAATTTGAACTGAGCCACGACTACTCCAAGTTGTTTCGAAGAAGTCCGGCAGGTTTTTCAATCCTTACCGGGAACATCGTAAGCTGAACTCATTGGTCTCGGTGCGAGGAGGCTTGCACCGATAATTCGGATGAGGTTTTGCACTACCAGTATCTTTTGACAGAGGACGTAATGTAGCG